ATTAAATACAACTTTATTTTCATTAACTCTCTACCAAAATTCAATTTGTTTTGTCATTGATTTATGGATTAATAAAGAAGCACATATATTACTGTTTTATGTGTTAGTTATTTTTAGTGTTTTAATCACTGTACATAAGAATTATTGGTTCCCTTTCCAATGCAGTTTACCTCTTTGTATTTTATTTTATGCAGTTAAATATATTTTCTACCCTATGGACAATTAGATTAAATCCATTTATGCACTTTATACTTCCTTGCAATTCTGACTAATTCTGGAATTGTATACTGCAGGTTACCCCATCTAGCTTGCTTAATTATCTCTTTAAAACATCAATTAAATTAAAGCAATATCAAATTTGGGGGTTTGTTTTAGATTTGATTTTGTCAATTATTTGAGTTCTAGAATTACAGATTAATTATATTTTCATATTTGCAAGTCATTTAATAATTTCCTAATTTGTCTAAAAGTGATTCTGGTTACCACATCAAAATGACATCCTATGAACCATCAATCATGGTAACAGTTTGTATTGCTATGTGTTGTCAATATGTATATGTTTCCATGTTTCCATTTGCCAAACAGCATTGGCTCAATTGGTAGAGAGCCAGCTGGATCAGGTGATTAAGGTACCAGGCTAGAAACTAGGAGACTGTAAGTTCTAGTACCACCTTAGGCATGAAAGCTAGGTAGATGACCTTGAGCCAGTCACTATCTCCAATCCCATGATGTCAGGCTCAAGTAACCAGTTGGTTGATTGATTCCTATCACAACCAACAAAACAGATACCTGGTTGATCTGAAAAGCAAAAGCAGACCCTTTACTAAGAAAAAAAAATTGAATCAATTGGTAGAAAGTAATCATGAAGCCAGTGAGCATAACAGTTCTTGGTCCATTTTGCTTTCATATTGTCAGATGCTTTGAAAAAAAAATTCAGAGAAAGAACAGATTCATAATAGAAATGTGTTGAAAATTTACCTAATTTGGGGCTGAGGATGGGGTTTTTTATGTTAGAACCTTTTCATTCTTTTGCCTAGACCTCAAAGGATTTTCTGTTGTTTCAGTGTAGTAAAATTAAAGGAAGAACTTGAAAAATTATGTATTTATCCCCCATGAAATGAAATCTTGTTTTCAGATAATGAACCAGGATTTCTTGTATGTGACTTACTGATTTTTTTAATAAGTCTAATATAGTGCCAAACTATCAAACTTCTGATTATAATTTGCATTTTAATAAAGGAGTATAATTCTAAATGGAAGGTATCGGAATTTGATAATTAAATTACTATTAGCAAAATATTAAATTGGTATAGTCATTTAAATTTAAATATGTTGCTGAAGATGAAGCCTTCTGCCTTTTAAAAATGTAATTGTATTTCAATGGAAAAACCTCAAACCCATACATTCATCTAAGTCATTATGTGGTTGGCTTGATTTTACTGTGAGTTGTGTTGTGGTGGGGTGCATGAAGGGAGGCTCAGCCAATCTCATTGTACAGAAGTTGTACTCTGACAATAAAGGTAATAATAATAGTTTAGTCTAGTGCACTTACTTAATCCATTATGTATAAAAACAAAAACTGCTTAGTATGATGCATGAATTCTTCATCCTTACAAAAATAAGACAACCTAAAAATGCTGCAGGTGTTTATACTTCAACAATGTTTGGCAGGCCACTTTCCTTGGCCCTGATTTCCAGAAATGGAAATTAAAAAGCTCTGTACTGATCATACCAATCAATTGATGATGAAAGTCCAAGAGAATTAGTGAAAGATATAACAGCAATGAGAAATTCTGAATGGTGAAAAACCATTTTTGGTGGCAATATCAGGGATATTGATATTGAGGAATCTTGAGGGAAATGGAGTGAAAAGTATTAAAGGAAGAAAAAAATCATGAATGAAAACTATTCAAAGAAAAAATTATGTCCCGACAGAATAAAATGAATGGAAAGTGTGTATGAGAGATGTTGAGAACCGAATGGTCCATATTATAGAATATGGACCATGTAGAAATTCCTGAGCTAATATGACTGGAGGAGGAATTCTGGGAGTTAAAGTCCACAAGTCTTAAAGCTGTCAAGTTTGAAGACCCCTGTTATAGAACATCATAGAAATGTGTGTAGCTATGTTAATGAGAAATATAAAATAAATGTTCTAGGTTGAATGAAGATGAAAACAAGGCAATGGGTAAGGGGAAAATGCTTATAAGAGAATAAGCGCTTCAAAACAGGAGAAGAGAAAACATAATTTGTATACAGGTAGTCTTCAATTTACAACAATTCATTTAGTGATCGTTCAAAGTTACAACAGCACTGAAAAAAGTAACTTATAACTATTGCAGCATCTCCATGGTCATGTGATTTGGTTGTTTAGCAACTGGCATGTATTTGTGACAGTTGCAATGTCCCCAGGTCATGTGATCACCATTTGAACCTTCTCAGACAGCTTCTGGCAAGCAGTCAATGGGGGAACCGTGCTTATTGACCACATGGTTCACTTGTTTGCTGTGATTTGCTTAACAACTGTGGCAAAATGGTCATAAAATGGACAAACTCACTTAACAACTGCCTCACTTAGCAATGGTAATTTTGGTCTCATTTGTGATCATAAGTTGAGGACTTTTATAGATATAGGTATAACTATATACAGTATGCCATTGTTCATTGCTGATTAGCCATTAGGCCATTTCAAAACACAGAATGTAAAACATAGAACATTAATAAGCCTGCGTATAAAAATAAAATAATAGTTGCAAAGAATCTAGTCAAGGTTACAGGTTCAGACTGACAGAGAAATTGCGGACTTATTTTAGTGAAAATAAAACATTTTGGATGTTGATGAAGAGGATGAAACAAGGAGCCTTCTGCAGTGTGAATCAAATCAATAATAAAAATAATGACATTCAAAAGGAAACTGACCTGAGGAGATGCAGGAGACAATCATGCAGAGACCTTCTATGTTTAGTTTTAACTGAAAACAAATGCTGTTAACATTAATATCCAAAACAAATTTTATAAAGATATAAATGCTGTGAAAACATTGAAAACAAAATCTGTCTGCAAATGTAGAGGAAATAATTGAAAAAATATTGATGGCATTTGTTTTAAGGAGTAATACAGTAAGAATTAATGCAAAAAAACAACAACAACCCCAACATCAAAAGGATTGGTTAAGTTTGCATGTGTGAAGTTTTGGGATAGAATTCATATCTAAGGAGTACAATAAGCAAAAATTGAGGAAGGGCAATGTAACTTTATGCCAGGGCGGGTGTGAATACATTTTTGCTGTTTAACAGATCCGTAAGATGTGAATGACAACATGTGAGATTTAAAGATTATTGTATGCTTCTTGATTTATTTCAAGCATATCATATGTGAGTAGGTTTGAATTATGGAATGTTTAGCAGAAATATGCAATTAAAGGTTGGTTGTTAAATACAACATGTACAGGATATGATTGAAGATCAACTTGCAAAACAAACTGTAAAGATAAAGAAATAAAACCTTGATGGAGAGGTACACACTGAGCTGTATTGCCAAAGTGACAAATGATAAGTTTTCAGTTCAAAATGGCTACATACCATGGGGAAGTGACTCATTCATCTCCATAATTCACTGAATTATAAAATGGGGAAGAGGTACAACACAATCAGACTGTCAAAATTTTGTATTATACCCAATAATATGTAGTTTTAGCCTTCCTGTAGAGCTGATTTGTGTCTAGTGAGACTAACACAAATATATGAAGGAAGAGTGAATGGATTGACAGAAAGGGAAAGGCTGAGGAAGTTGTGATGCACTGGCATTCATAAGATCTTCAAAAAGAAACAGCGACAAAATGTTTCTAGAACAAAATGCCATGTCCGATGGATCCATTGGAAATAATGTTACTGACTTCACTTACTGACCACAATTGAAACTGACAACTCCACTGAGAAGTGCCCTGGGCACTAACTAAAAAATAATATTGGATGAGCCAGACTTACAAACCTCACTTCAGCTTCTGTTCTTAAGTGAATCATCTAGTCATTAAGCAAGACATCACATGATCACGACTTGCAATTTTACTGCCAACTTCTCCATTGATTCTGCTTGTATGAAGCTGATTTTGAAGCGCACAAATGACAATCACATTACTATAAGATGCTGCAATAGTCATAAAAGCCTGCTGGTTTCAAAGCACACAAATGTCCGAGCACTAACTTCCAACAGTCACTAAATTGGCATTTGATAATGGGAGGATGTCCTGCAGTTTTTCAAAATAGAAAGATTAGGGTAGGGTAACTGCTGTTGGCATAAACGGGTCCATTTCTTTTTCTTATCTCTTTGCTTTATTTTGTACTCCTTTTCTGCTTTTTGCATAATGATATTTAACCTAAAGGGTAAAGATGATGGACATATATAAATTTAATCAGCGATGTTCTCATTTACAAATTAAATATGCACTCCTATTTAAACAAGATAGCTCAATTTAGCAATCTCACCACCAAAGGAGAATAGTGCTTCCTTATTATTGTTTACTGTACTTCAACAACTCAAGGGGACATGTGTATATGCATAGGATTATTGTGAGTGTGCGTGTCTTTGCATAACTCTGAGCACCCTCCACAAACAGAAGTGCATTAGCAAAGTATTTGTAGTCGTTGCAGCCATTGAACTCTGGGAAACCCGGAGGGTCAAAATATACAACATTTGCAAGTCATGATTCATCAAAGATTGCAAGCGATCTGGTTAACAGTTTCCTCCAGCTTCCCAATTGTTCTTTTCTTGAGGGATGATATCCCCCGTTTTCCATATTAAACAATAAGCAATTATCCAAACTTTATGGCTCAAATTGCACCCACCCCTTTCTGCTGTATTGGTACGACCTGGAAATGGAAGGAAAAAACCAGGGTTGCTGAGTAGCGTCAGACTACTAAGAGATTCCGTGTAGCCTGAGGTAAACCTCCCCTCTGAAGTTCAGCCGTGTTAACTCGATACTTCCCTCTTTATTTAAACAGGGGCAAATTGAAGCGGAAAGCGAGACAGTCTTTAGATTAGCTGCTTTGATTTTACAGGTAAGATTTTTCTGAACTCAATTTTGTGGTTTTCTTTTAACCTGCCATGCCTTCGGTTCCCAGACTGGAGTTTCTGCAGCGTTGTTTATGTTTTTGTTATAAAATGTAAAACTATACTCCTTCACCCAGCTGACCCAGTTAAAAACGGAATACCTGTTCTTTCTTCCCGTTATGCAAAGCTGTCGTGCAAAACGGTCATTGTGCGGACATTTAGAATGTAGCAGGAGAAGAAATGTACGAAGAAAACTTATTGGGAGTGGGGGCAGCGTGCTTTGAATAAGCTATACTTTTGTGTCATCTGCCTGGGATAATTGAATATATTTTCCATAATACATATTTTCCATAATACTAAAACTATATGTTGGGCACAGGAGAAAGATTTTGAAGTAGAGAAAAGGGGCTATAATTATATTGAAAATCACTACGAACACTTTTAAATGTCTCTTATCAATTCTGCTTCAGTTTATCATGTTGATTTTTTGTGGACATCTCCATAATATAATATATATATTACATATCTAGATTATTAAATGTAATATATATACAAATATATTCCAATATGTAATTTTTCTTAAGAGGAGGCTTCCGTTTATGTTAATATATTCTAATAAATTGAAACTTTGATTTTAAAAAAAGTTTGAAATTGATCCAGATTAGCGGAAACTGTGTGTGTAATTTTAGGTTGTGTCTTACACACATTTGGGGGATGCTGGTACTTTTAAATAACAAAACTTATATTTAAAAAAAAAGCCTTTCAAACCACTGATGTACTTTTAATTTGCACATAAGGTCAGCATTTTTTTAAAAATGACTTGAATTTTAAAATGCATTCTTAATAATGTATCTAAATGAAATGCAAACAGCCATTATAAAACAAAAAAGATTTCTAACATGACTTTTCTTCCCTTATAGGAAGCAAAAGGAGACTACTCTAGGTAATTTACATTTCCTTTTTCATTATTAACAGTGTGGGTGAGGTTTAGCTTTTCCTGCATTTGCTAATCACAAAGTAGAGCAAGTGCAACAGCCAGCATAAATTCAGAGCATGCACTAGCAAAGGGGTATATTGCTTTTGTGGGCAAGTGCAAATTGAGCTGTTCTTTTCCAAAGTGCCATAGTCTGGATGCTTGTATTAGCTAATCTATGATAAGGTAAAAGTTCTCAATATTTTGTGGCAAGTAGTAGCTTCCATCTACAGAAGTCCCTTTCACAACCCTCCCCCAACCTCCCTGTAAATCTCCTAATGATTTGATCTGTGAATAGCCCTAATGTATGCTTAGCAAAAAGTTTGTCAGCCTTGTAGATCAATGTGCAGTGTTTCCTTTGCAGCTGCTTCAAGGGGGCTCACCCATCACACTCCTCTCCTGACAGCTGTATTGTGACCGCTGAAAGATTTTGAGCTTGGTGGCTTTAGTTCTTACCTACCATGTGCAAATCAGATGCAGCTTCAGTCGGTTTTCTTCCTATCAGCAAAATCCAAGTCCCTTCAGTGTGCAGTTCTTACAGGAGCAATTAAATAAAAAGGACATTGTGTCTGAGTAGTGCTGGCGAGCTTAATTAGCAGCAGCTCACTTAAGAGACTTTGTAGGAGGGAAACACTGTTAGTTTATGGTATTCCAAAATCAGAAGGAGTATGTAGGCAAAAGCTTTGATCAGGTGCCATAGACTGGCTAAAGTGATGTCGAGATTTAAATCAGGAGGGGGAGGAGAAGAAGACAAGAGTGGTTTATTCAGATGCAGGTTGCACATGCCTAGAAGGTTGGTTTTTAGTCAGATTAATGTTTCATCTATGGTTTGATTTCCTGCAAAGGGAAGATGGATAGTCGTTGCTTACCTTTCTGGCAAAATAAGATGTATGTGTGGTTGTATTCTGATATGAGCTGTGATAAGATAATTTTTTGCCATTGTACAAAATGCATTGCTTTCTACTGTGCATGATTGGGTGGAAGAGGCAGAAACTTTCTCAGTCGAAAATCTCAGCCTAATATCAAAAAGTATTTTGCAAGTCAGAAAGCTTTAAAAAAAGAGGATGCTAAAAAGAACCATGCCATAAAAGGAAGGAATGAGTCGGTTTGCTCACTGCTTGTTTTAGCTTGGGATATCGTTATATGGTTATTCCTGCAGAAATGAAGTCCTTGATTAGAAATAAGATTGAACATTCTTATTCTACAGCAGGGCTGTCAAACTCCCGGCTGGATGCGTCACAGTTTAGCGAAGGGTGGAAAAGTCCTGATACGTCATGTGATGCCGCCATGACAACATGAGTTTGACACCCCTGTTCTATAGCAAAATTACTGTTATAGATGGCAGCACCAATCAATCTGACTTGAGCAAATCTCAAGAAAGTTAGGGAGGGTTGGACTTGGACGAGAGACTATCAAGAAATCTCAGGACAGCAGACTTGATGTTTTGACTGATTGACTAATTATGTGCCATCTAGTCATTGTCGATGCTTAGTGACCACATCAAGGTAGATTTTTCTCTATGAAGATTCTAACCTGGTGCCTCAGGTTTTCCAATGGTGCCTTCATCACCACTGTAACTAAGCCTATCCACCTTGCTGCTGGTCTTTCTCTGTTTCTCTTTGCTCCTCCCTTTCCCAGCCATTGGAACCTTCTCCAAAGAGCTAGGTCTTTGCACAATAGGTCCAAAGTTATTCATTCCTCAAGTGAGAATTCTGTGTAAATGTGTTTGGTGAGCCATCAGTTTGCTTCCTTGGCTGTCTGTGACATACTCAAAAGTCTTCTCGGCACCAAGTTCAAAAGTATCAATACTATTCTTTAGTTTAGTTTAGTTTATTGTCATTGCACCTTGTACAACCAAATTAAATACCATCTTCAGTGTATATTATGACTATGAAAATAAACATAAACACACATCCTTCACATTTTATACATTGAATTGAAAACCCCTACTGTATTGCACTATACAATAGAATTCAATTCAACTGCCCTGGGATAGAAGCTTACCCTACTTCTTTCAGTGTCCAACTTTCACTTTCATACATTATCCCAGATGTACCATTGTCTGCACCATACAGAACTTCATAGGTGTAAACATAGCATCTGAATATATTTTCAGAGCCCTTCATGGCTATTATATTAAGTGCTAGTCTGCTGTATATTTCTTGATCACTTGATCCTTTACTATTGAACAGAATTGATTTTTTTTTAAATTAAATGGTAGGAGGGAATTGCAATCTACAGATAGTCCTTGACTTACAACTGTTCATTTAGTGACTTTTCAAAGTTACACCACTTGAAAAAGTGACTTACGACCATTTTTTCACACTTACAACCTTTGTAGCATCCCCATGATCGTATGATCAAAATTCAGATACTTGGCAACTGGTTCATACTTACGACCGTTGCTGTTTCTCAAGGTAATGTGATCATCTTTTGTAGCCTTTTGACAAGCAGAATCAATGGGGAAGCCAAGTATACTTAACCGTGTTACCAGTTTATCAACTGCAGTGATTCACTTAACAACTGTGGTACAAAAGGTTGTCAAAAAGAGGCAAAATTCACTTAACAGTGGGAATTTGGGGCTCAATTGTGGTTGTAAGTTGGAAGACTACCTGTAATTTGCAATTAGCAAGTTGTTTCATAGCTTTCTTCTAATCAGTTTACTGATAACTTATGTTAACACTGCTGATCATGTTCGCACATGGTCTTCAGAATTATCTGGGCCAATTGCTTGGGTTTTTGCATGATTCATTGAACCATAAATTAAATACTGCCTGTGGCTGGCTATTTTGCTATTTAGTATGTCGTGTAAACACAGCCAATCTATTATTAGGTTAGCTTGGATCATCATCTGGATCAGCACACATCCTTCATAGCTTACAGCTATCAGGTGTATTCTATCAGTACGTCTGGCGCCAAAATATCTACTTTTAAGTGTGTTAATTAAGCAGTTGTGGCTCTTTTGTAACAGAATACAAGAAATGATTAAGGGTGGTGAGTCTTACAAATAGGGATGAAAACATGAAGGTTTCAAACTGATAAAGATTAATTAATCACAGATTAGAATTCTTAATTGTTAATCTGATTTAATCCATGAAAGGATCTGAAGTGTGTTGAAGGCGCCATCATGCAGAATACTGCATGCATATTCTGAGTTGGCAAGACATTTAATTTGCTAAGTTTAAAGGAGCAGCTGTCTTAATTAGATATGAAGTCTAAACTATCCTGAGACATCTTTGAGACCAGTAATTATTTTATTGATAGTCTAGACCTTAAGTACTTTCACACAGAATTGACTCAATTATACAGTATGTATTAATTACATCTGAGAAGCTTTATAGGCAAATGTATAGGATGAGAACTCCAGAAAATGAAGATGAGAGAACTGAATTATTTAAAGGTGGTTATTCTCTGAGATCAGTAGCAATTGCTGCAACATGTTCAGTGTGTTGCTCTGGTGAGGGAAAATACAACTTGGCTTTAGTTTCCTCTTAAACTAAGAAATTGGTAATGTCAAATCCAGGCAGCTATTTAATGTCAACTTGGGACATTTGTAGACATTCAGGAAACTCCTGCATCATTTACTAGAGTTAAAGCAAGGCCACTGCCATGTCAAGCTGTCCCAAGGAAGTTGCTAGCATATGTATGAAACAGCAGGTGTAGGCCACTTGTGCTAAGAATCGAATTCCTTTATTTATGTATGCTGAATGCTGCATTCATTTTTCAGGCATGGTATTTTTTAGAAAAAAAAAATATAGACCTTGATGCAAGGATGCATTCAGTTAAATGTCAATATATTTAAGGATCATTTGCATATCCTCAATGCAAGGATGGAAGAGAGAAATATGTGACATCTGCTGGCTTTAGCAGGAAGGCAGAATATCCTTTTCTTACTCCATATCCAAATAACGTTTTCCAACTATTACTGGTGCAAACATGACTGTGTTGTCTGCTGTTGTCAGACTACTGAGTTTCACTTGTTTGTAGGCAAATGCCACTATACTGTACATTGTGATGGTCACATCCCCTTATATTTACTTGCTGACTACTATTTGCTGGGTTTTACACACAACATAATACTGCCCCAGGAAGTAGTAGCTGGTGAGATAGAATGGGCAGATTTTCCTCTACAATGGAACAGAGCATTTTTATTACTTGTTTTGTTTTAACCAGTCTTAGGAGGTGACTTCTAAAATAGGATTTTTAGTAGTCCACCATGGAATTCTCCTTTCTTACAGAAATAACAAATATTCTGTAGATTTCTATACAGAAATTCATGGAATTGTACCATGAGAACTTGAAAGCTTTTTGGAGGGAGGAGAAGGAGAAGATGATCATCTAGTTCCAGTTGTATGTACTGTTCAACATCCAAAGTACTTTACACCTACAGTTTTACCTAAAGTAATTAATCAGCTAAACATTCTAAGTTGTCCAAAGTCACCTTGTAGAGATGGAAGGCATACAAATTTAATAAAATAAAATAAACCTAGGCCTTATTTCCCTTCTCCCTCTTTCCAAGCTGGTAGTTCCCCTTATCACCATCAGGGGTACAGCAAACTTTCACGAGATAATGGAGTTCCAGCAAAACAATACCAGCATTGATTGTGTGGTTGATAAAAACATTGAAACAGTTGGCCAAGAAGCAGCTGGGAGAAGCACATGTCTGATATGCTAGCCATCAAACTGTGTTGATGTCAAGCCTGAGGAAAATAGAATTGCCAGCTTGAAACCAGGTGCTGTCAAAGAAAAAAATTCCAAACCTTCACATATTTTAGCAGGCAGGTTTTGTTTAGGGAGAAGTAACTCTGTTTTGGAATTTACTTTTTTACTACAGTATATCAGAGTTATCCACTGAGAATTCGATAATCTTTGCCTCAATGTAGTCCTATAAATGACAACTCAGAAATGACGTCCCAATGTAAGTTTAACGTGTGATAATAAAAAACAGCTTGAATTGAATATTGATATAA